CTTTCTGGATCACCAGGACCATTCGAAAATATTATACCATCTGGCTTCATACTTAATACTCTCTGAGCAAAACCCTTCATTGGTTGTACCAACTCAACCGCACACCCTAGCTCAATCAAACGCGTAATTATACTAATCTTTACACCAAAATCTATCACTACAACTTTATATCGTGCTTCTAGAGTATTTCCAAAACTACTAACTTCATTAGCAATATCTACTCTGTCATTAATTACATACTCATTTAATTCCTGCAAAATACCATCTAAATCAAATTTTTCTGCAGAGCATATCATTCCTTTTTGTGATCCATAATTTCTTAAATGCCTAGTTAAAGCCCTCGTATCAACACCAGATATTCCAACTACATTATTATCCTCCAGCCAATCATTTACACTAACATAAGAAGAAGGGTGCGATGCTGGTGAAAGTTCTCTCACAACTATGCCGCTTGCAAAAATTTTCTCCCCTTCATTGTCCTTATTGTTTATTCCAACATTACCAATATGAGGAAAAGTAAATGTAATAATTTGATCAGCAAAAGAAGGATCTGTTACAGTATGTTGATAGCCCGTCATACCAGTGGTAAAACACACCTCTCCTATACGCTTACCTTTCCTACCTATAGACTTCCCAAAAAAACATTTACCGTCTTGTAAAACTAAAACTACGTCTCGCACTATAAAATTTACTTTAAAAACACTACTTCAAGCTTATAATAGACTTTAAACTTTGTGAAGAGTTATATAAAGTCACACCTCACCAGTCTTAATAATTAGCTTTAATAAAAAACCCCCTTACTCTCTAAAAGAATCCTCTTAGTTTTCTAGCACGACTTGGATGCCTCAACTTGCGTAGCGCCTTTGCCTCAATTTGACGTATTCGCTCACGTGTTACATTAAAGATCTTACCAACCTCTTCCAATGTATGTTCTTTACCATCCTTTCCCAAGCCAAAACGCATTCTTAAGATTCTTTCTTCCTTCGGCGTAAGCGTTGCAAGAACATTAGTGGTAATACCACGCAAATCAGCAAGAATTGCGGCATCTTCCGGCCTAGATACTCTCCTATCTTCTATACAATCACCAAAGGTACTACTGTCATCTTTCCCAGTTGGCGCTTCTAGACTTATTGGGTCTCTTGCTATCTTCATGACTTTACGTATCCTATCCACCGGCATTGTAAGCTCCACACTTAGCTCCTCCAACGTGGGCTCCCTGCCCATATCATGAGTCATCTTTCTTAACGCCCTGTTGATTTTGCTAATAATCTCCACCATATGAACTGGTATTCTTACTACTTTAGACTGCTCAGGTATAGCCCTAGTTATTGACTGCCTTACCCACCAAGTGCCATAAGTTGAAAATTTATACCCGCGCTTATAATCAAATTTGTCCACAGCTTTCATAAGGCCGATATTCCCTTCCTGTATCAAATCAAGCAGAGCTAATCCTCTATTTGCATACTTTTTAGCAATGGAAACCACAAGTCTCAGATTTGCTTTTATCATCTCTTGCTTTGCGTCACTAACTTCCTTTTCATGCCCTCTTATCCTTTTAATCAATTCCTTAAACCCTTGTACATCCTCTTCCTCTACATACTGCTTGATATTTTGCAAAGCACTAGATATACAATCATTAGCGCCATCTAAAAATTTCTTAAATTTACTTTGCAAATTAGTAGAAAGAAAAGATTTATCTTTATGAAATTGAAAATTGTCTTTTAAAAGGACTTTGTCATAGATCTCATAAAAATCATCTCTGTTAATGCCATATTTTTTAGCTTCAGAAATAAGATTAGCTTCTTCAAGCATCACATTCCTATTTATATCATAAAAAGTCTGAGTAGCTTTAGAAATAGCAGCATCACTCAACTTAATTTGCAATGCTATAGACCATATCTGATCATACAGCTCTTCACATTCCGGTTTATTTTGTAACGCTTTATTCGTTAAATCAATTATATCATCCAATGCAGTTATAACTTTCGGCAATAGATCACTTTCCATTTCAAGAATAGAAACATTCAGTCCCGTTGAACCCATGTTACCGCCCTCACTTTCTTCCTCAGTCTCACAGTATTCACTGTCCTCAACATCAATACTATCATCCTCATCTTTAGGCATTGCATTAAAATCTGAGTTGTAAATAGCTTCAAGATCTATAATCTCCCTCAGCAATAAATCTCCATTACTAAGGTCATCTCTCCATGCTTTTATCATTTTGAGCGCTATCGGCACTTCAATTATTGCACGTAGCATATTATGTTTTTCAGATTCAATTTTTTGAGCTATTTGAATTTCTTCCCCTCGTGATAGTAGCTTGACAGAACTCATATCCCGCAAATAAATTCTTACTGGATCATCATTCTGCACCAAAGCCGTAGTAATATCTGAAGATGCATCATCTTCACTATCCAGCTTATCATCATTCTGAGAAGAAGCATCATCCTCATCTTCATCACTTTCAAGCACATTAATCCCAAAATCCTGCAGTAGAGATATCGTACTATCAATAAAATCAGAAGAAAAATTTTCTTCTGATAACGTATCATTTAAATCATCAAAAGTGATAAAACCACCCTTTTTGATACTTTTTGTAACAAGATCCTTTATGATCTTTTTTTCATCCTGAGTTTCATTAACAATTGACATTATTACCTTTATAGTTTAAAATTTTATCCCTTAATTCACTAACGAACTTACAGCTATTTGTTACTTTATATAGTTTAAAATAACATTAATACACATATACTTGTACTAAGAATTCATATTGATCGTCCCATATTTTTCTTTTATCCTCACTGCTATAGACAATCCAACTGAAAATGTTGCAATTCCAACTACTATTGCAGTCAGCATCAAAACATGAGGTATTGGATTACTATAAAGATTAGAATTCGCGTTTAGCACAGGAGGTAAAGAATCTTTTATATACCCCAAGGATATATAAAACAACAAAATAGACGCTTGAAAAATACTCATTCCCATCATTTTCTTTATTAAATTCTTATCACATATAATAATATATAAACCTAATATCATTAACATCATAATAATCATATAATTGTATAAAGTCACGATTTTTTCTCACTTACAAAATTTATATATATAATCAACATGGAAGAAAAAACTACAAATGCTACGCCCAATTCCACTAAAAAAATACCTAATTTTTGGCCACTTATATTATCATTCAATAAAATATTATAAGATAAAAAATTTTTACCAAACAAAATTGTTGTAATACCAGTTCCAGCGTAAGTTAAAATACCCAATACATTGATCAATCTAATCACCGAATAAGGTATTGCTTTTAAAATGGCAGGCACACCAAATAACATCGAATATAGTATCATTCCAGAAGCAATAATGATCCCTGCCTGAAAACCTCCTCCTGGAGTATAATCTCCATGAAGATGAACATAAAAACCAAGTAAAGTAATAAAAGGCACCATCAAAAATGCCACTACGCTTAGTATTGGATCTTTAATCATTATTTTCTTTTCTTAATATCAAGGTAACACAGAGCGCAGCAGTAAAAACTACTACAGTTTCTCCAAACGTATCATAACCACGAAAACTTGCTAAAATAGCTGTAACTACATTTGGAATATCAATAGCTTCTTTTGTACTTTCTATGTAATAAGGGGCTATATGCTGATGAATAGGAGCATTGTTATCTTTAAAATCTGGTAAATCAATCATAAAATATGATAAACATGCAGTTAAAAATACAGCACAAAAAAGTACTACAGTGTTGTAAGATAAGTTTGTTTTATAATCCTTGATTAATGAAAGAGCTGAAAACGTAAAAACTGTACTCAATCCCGCACCAACAGAAGCCTCAGTGATCGCAACATCAGGAGCATTCATAACTAAATATATCAAAGCGATTAGAGAACTAAATGCACACATTAAAACAGTACTGATAACCAAGTCTTCTGAAAAAACTATAAAAACAGCCACTATTAATAACAGTGAGAGCAGTACCGTAGCCAGTATTTCAAGCATTTTAATCTTCCTTATTAACATCTTCTTTGCTTTTGTNTGTGCTAGAACATAACTATTAGTTGAATTAGCAACCCATATTATTAAAATAAGAAGTAAAATTTTAATCGTATTTACCGAAAATTCACTCTGCAAAGAAAAACCAATTAACAACAACATCGCTCCACTAGAATCTGCAATTCCTGCCGCATGCAGTTTAGTGTAAAAACTAGGCAATCTAATTACCCCTACACTTGAAATAATAATAAATAAAGCACCTAAAAGTATAAAAAAGCTTCCTACCATACAATACTAAAATAACATAAATCTCATTAATGCTACAGTCGATATAAAGCTGATACTAGCGTATATTAATGCTATATCAATTAAAAAGAAATTACCAGTAACTATTGATATTGCAACAATTAACAGTAAAGCTTGCGTTGAAAAATGGTTGAATGCTACAATTTTACTATATACATCATTTGCCTTATTGACTACACAGTACAGCATTGCACCCATACAAAACAATAATATGTAGATAGTAATATGGATCACCTATAAATTTTACTGGTTGTACAATTAAATAACTCATTGTCTTAATAAAAGCAAGCATGTAAATTCAGAACTAAACTTATGAATGAAGAACTTACAAGTGATCTTTTGCAGTTTTTAAGAATAAACCGTTCCTATTCTCTATTTACTTTCTCAAGGAAATATGTTATCAATATGCTTCGGTTTATAAAATGGAGGAAGGTTTGGCTGTTCCAAAAAGAAAAAAATCTAAATCTCGGCGTGATATGCATCGCTCTCATCATGCTATTAAGCCTAAGAATATTGTAGTAAATTCAACAACTGGGGAATTTATGCTGCCTCATAGTATAGCAGTTGATGGCTATTATAAGGGTAAGAACATATTCTTAAAGCAACAAATGGCAGAGCAGTAATATGCCATGTTATCCACTGTCAGTAGTGAGATCATCATTGCTCTTGATGCTATGGGTGGGGATTTTGCGCCTCTATCCATAATAGAAGGTGCTAATTTCTTTTTAGATAATCTTCTTGATAGTCACACAAAAGTTTTCTTTCGTATTTATGGAGATCAGCAAAAAGTTCTTCCCTTACTTTCCAAATATAAAAAAGTAAACGATAACTCTCATTTTACTCACTGCTCTGATAATGTTTTAGCAAATGATAAGCCGTCCTTTGCATTACGGCGCCGAAAAGATTCAAGCATGAAAACTGCAATTGAAGCAGTAAAACAAGGCAAAGCTACTGGCGTAGTGTCTTCGGGTAATACTGGAGCATTAATGGCAATGTCTAGGTTTGTTTTAGGTACACTGCCAAATATATATCGCCCTGCCATTGTATCTATATGCCCCACAAAATCGAAAAATCTTGCATTACTTGATCTTGGTGCAAACGTCGATTGTAATGCTGACACACTATTTCAATTTGCATTAATGGGTAGTATATTCGCTAAAATTGCGTTAAAAGTTGACGATCCCGAGGTAGCTTTACTTAACATAGGGACAGAAGAAGTAAAAGGTACGGACTCAGTGCGAGGAGCTTTTGAATTACTTAAAAACACTCCCGGTATTAATTTTAAAGGTTACATAGAGGCAAGTGAATTTTTGGAAGGTAACGTTGATGTCATTGTTGCCGACGGTTTTGTTGGCAATGTAATGTTAAAAACAGCCGAAGCCACTGCTAATACCTTTATCCAATTAATCAAACAGGAGTTATCAAACTCATGGATAGCAAAAACTTTCGGCTTATTGCTAAAATCCAAGTTTAATAAAGCATTAGTACGCTTCAACCCCAAAATTAGAAGCGGGGCTATGTTTTTAGGCATAAATGGTATTGTGATTAAAAGTCACGGAAATTCTGATGCTGTCTCACTTGCGCATGCGATTAAATTTGCAGTAAACTCTATAAAAGAAAATCTTAATCAAAAAATTATTAACGGAGTAAATAACATTGAATAAAAGTTTCATACTAAGTACAGGCTCTTATTTGCCGCAAAAAATATTAAGTAATGATGAAATATCTTCAATGGTCAATACAAGTGACGAATGGATTAGACAGAGAACCGGTATTGCTCAAAGACACATAGTAGATCAAGGAGAATTAACATCCGACTTAGCCACAAAGGCAGCACAAATTGCCATAGAGAACGCTAAAATTTCAGCAGCTGATATCGATTTAATTATAGTTGCAACCACAACGTCTGATAAAACTTTTCCTAGTTGCGCAACAATCGTGCAAAACAAACTAGAGTGCAATAATGCATTTGCTTTTGACGTTCAGGCTGCATGCTCAGGTTTCATATATGCAATCACAATCGCTGACTCGCTTATCAAAGCTAACAAAAAAATAAAACATGTCTTAGTAATAGGTGCCGAAACAATGTCTAAAATTGTTGACTGGGAAGATAGATCAACTTGTGTATTGTTTGGTGATGGAGCTGGAGCAGTAATAATCAAATCTACGAGCGATCAAGCTACAAAAAGTTTTATAGCATCAACCAGTTTATACTCTGATGGAAATACAAAAATTTTAGAAACCAATGGTGGCATATCATCAACTGGCCACTCAGGAAAAATATGTATGAATGGTCGAGAAGTATTCAGACACGCAGTAGATAAATTAACAGCCGTAATAGAAGAAACACTCAAGGACAACTATTTGCAGATTAATAACATAGACTGGCTTATCCCCCATCAAGCAAATATCCGCATCATTGAAGCTGTCACAAAAAAACTTAATTTTCCTATGACAAAAGTCATCAATACAGTTGATAAACATGCAAACACTTCAGCTGCATCAATCCCTTTAGCTTTAGATCATGAAGTACAAAAGTTAAAAATAAAAAAAGGAGATAAGATACTACTTGTAGCAATAGGTGCAGGTTTAACCTGGGGGTCTGTACTACTGCACTACTGAAAACCCTACTTACCTTCAATTCTCTCTATCAACTTTTTAACTAGAGCTCTTAGCTTTTTGCTAGATTCATCGAGACCCTTTATGATATCATCTTGCATACTATGTGATTGAACTATTTCCTTATGGCCGTTTCTAATATAATCAATCATCTCTTCAATTTGGACAACCATCTTATCAACACTCATACTGCCACCAAAATTTGGTATGGCATTAGGCATAGCTCCGTCCATTAAACCACCAGCCATAAGCTGCTGAGACATCTGCATAAACGGCTTTAAAGTTTGACTAAGCAATTCAGGATCCTTGGCTAATTTCTCTATTTGCTCTTTGCAAGTTTCCATATATTGCTTCATAAATTCATCTTCTTTATCTGTCATATCGCACCTGCCTAATAAATGTTATCTTTTCATATCATACACTATCTTGCAACAAAAAACAATAGTAAAGTCATTATGATATATATTTGAAAGCATATTTTACATTGAACGGCAAGCTCTCAGTCTTTTAAAATCCTCTTCAGCATGGTATGACGATCTAGTAAGAGGACTTGAGGCAACCATTAAAAACCCTTTAGAATACGCTACATATCTGTAGTGATCAAATTCCTCAGGAGTAACATATCTATCAAGCCTCGCGTGTTTTTGAGTAGGCTGTAAATATTGACCAATCGTAACAAAATCAACTTCAGCGCTACGTAAATCATCCAATACTTGAAATACTTCTTCTTTTGTTTCCCCAAGACCTACCATCAGCCCTGATTTTGTAAAGAGCTTAGGATTAACTTGTTTAACTGTTTTTAGCAAATATAAAGAATGAAAATAACGAGCACGCGGCCTTATCTTTGCGTATAGCCTTGGAACTGTCTCAATATTATGATTATAAACATCTGGTGCAGCAACAGCAATTGCCTCAAATGCCCGCTCTTTATTAAGAAAATCAGGCGTTAAAATTTCTATTGTTGTTTCTGGACTAGTTTTCCTAATTTCTTCTATACATCTGATGAATTGATTTGCACCACCATCAGGTAAATCATCACGATCAACAGAAGTGATAACCACATGCCTTAAATTCAATTTCTTAACAACTTTTGCTAGATTCTCTGGCTCGTGAGGATCCAACTTATCAGGAATTCCGGTTGCAACATTGCAAAAAGCACAAGCACGAGTACAAACTGAACCAAGGATCATCACAGTAGCATGACGTTTATTCCAACATTCACCAATATTTGGACATGCTGCTTCTTCACACACTGTATGCAAATTATATAATTTAACAGTGTTTAAAGTTTCATTAAATACTTCGCCAGTCGGAGCTTTCGCCTTCAACCATTGCGGCTTGCTATGCATCTTGCTGTTGTGCTAGAACCTTTCTGAGCATCTTTTTTATCTTCTGAGCTTTTTCACTTAATTTTATTGTTCTGGTCCCAAGTAAGAAACCATCTAGACCACCTTTGTAGTCTATGGTTCTTAAAGTTCTTGTTGCTATACAAAACCTAAATTTTCTGTTGAGTACATCACTAATCAATGTCACTTTATGTAAATTTAAGCAAAAAGTACGCTTAGTCTTACGATTTGAATGCGATACTTTATTACCAAAAGACTTTTTTCTATTTGTTAACTCGCAAATTCTACTCACTTTGATATACCCAGTTATTCTATAAAGCCTAGGTTACATTATATAGTGAAAAAGTCAACACTTTCTTGTTTAATTTTTATACTATATACCGCTTTGTAGCCAAAAAATACCGTGATTTTTTCTATTATAAGAGAAGTCATATGCTGAATTTCCAGCGCTTTACCTCCATTTGTTACTGCTAAATGCAACACGCCAGAATTTGTATTCTGTGCATATAAAACTCTTTTTGGCTTTGCATATTCTGCCACTTCTGCCCCAACTATATTACGCCAGTTTAAAATTAGACGTATTTCATTCTTACTAATTTTATTATACATACATTTAAGTACATATTTTTCTACTATAGATTTCAAATTTTTTGGTCCACTATAGTTAAGCATCTTGCTCATAAACTCTCTTCTTTATAGCATTGTTTTATTGCAAATCCTTCTAACTCTTGCATATATTCCTCTAAGGTAATCAACCCCATACAAGCCATAGCACCACGTTCTTTTAAATCTCCTGTTATTAATTTTTTAGCAAGTATTATAGCTGGAACACAAGGAATTTGCACCTCCTTTAGCAATCACTGTATTTCCTTCATATTGACTTCAAAAAAGGCTTCAAGAGATATATAAGCCAGGAACAATGTACATCAAGCCTACCATCAGCTATCATCATATCATTACTGTAAGCACGGTTAGAATACCGTTTTTTATAACCTTTGGTAAATCTTCCCACTTTTCTTGAAATACACTTGCAAACACCTGTAAGCTTTTTTAATATTAATAGCAAGGACTATAACATAAAAAATTGATTTTTCTATGAATTTAGAATAAAATAATGAAAAGCACTTAAGTCATAGATCAGTTACTAATGAATGCGCATCAATATTTACTCTTTTAAAACTAGTAGGAATAGCATAAGATCTCTCCATTTTATTAAAAGCAATACTAAGTAAGCCATATATTACCCCTCCAGCTGCACTTGATATACCAGTTATCATCCTTGTATTATCGTCATCTATAGTAAGAGATACCAATGCTAAGCTCCCAATACATGGAATCAATACTAACTTAGCAGAACAAACAAATAAATCCAAGTATCTAAGCCGTACACATTTTTCTATATATTCTTTACAACCAAGATCCCCAGGAGCAGAACCCATATTATCCTTCAATGAAACGTTTGCTCCTTCTTTCACTAATGCTCTTATGAGGTTTTCTCGCCTCTCACGAGCAGCCAAATGCAAAGGACTATTCCCATCCTTATCTTGTATATTAATCTCTATTCCTGGCACACCTAACACAGACTTCCACATCTGTGCATGTCCCTTTATAATTGCTAGGTGTAGTATGGTTTTTCCATTTATATCCACAGCATTAACATTAGCACCATTTTCTATCAGAAGATCTACTATTGGTAAATGGCTACCCGTAACAGCAAGGTGTAGAGGTGTATATTGATTTCCACTTCTTGCTTCAATGTTTGCTCCATTATTTATAAGAGTCCTTACCACATCTATATGGCCATACCTTGAAGCCAAGTGTAAAGATGTCATTTGATTTCCATCCGCTATGTAATGAACGTCCTGTTGTAATAATTGAACTTTCTCTGCGCTTCTCAGAAATTCTCTAATACCTTCACTTGTAGTTAAATCTCTAGGAGTTTTGCCACGTTTATCAATTAACATAGAATTTGCATTCCTTCTCACAAGCACATCCACTACGTCCATATGGTCATACCTTGAAGCCAAGTGCAAAGGCGTACGTCTATCTTGATCTTGAGGATTCACTCCCGCCCTTTTTTCTATCAGAAGTTCAACTACACTTGTATTCCCACTTCTTGCAGCTAAGTGCAAAGGCGTACGTCCATTTTTATCTTGAAGATTCACTTTCGCCTCCTTTTCTATCAGAAGTTTAACTACACTTGTACCCCCACTTCCTGCAGCTAAGTGCAAAGGCGTACGTCCATTTTTATTTTGAAGATTCACTTTTGCCCCCTTTTCTATCAGAAGTTTAACTACACTTGTACTCCCACTTCCTGCGGCTAAGTGCAAAGGTGCAAGCTTGTCTTCTTTACTCACCAAATTTATATCAGCTTTATTTTCTGTTGTAGTCTTTATAGAGGACACATTTTCATTTACTACCACTGCCTTACTTTGAGTAGATACACTTAAAATATCTTCACTACGTGATCTTGTAACTTGCCTCCTCTCCTGGCTAATATCACAGCTAATCTCTATTAGCTGCCCTTCCACTAAAACTTTCACTATCTCTACATAACCTTTGGCAGCAGCCCAATGCAAGGCAGTAAATCCATCCTTATCTACTCCATTGATACTCACTCTATGCTGTATGAGCATTTTTACACAATTTAAATGCCCATTCCTTGCAGCAAGGTGTAAAGGTGTAAATCCGTCCTTTTTACTTATCACATTTATATCAACTTTATTTTCCGTTGTAGTGTTCACAGGAATAGAAGATGTATTCTCTTTTACTGCCTTGTTCTGAGTAAATGCATCCACAATGCTTTCGCTAAGCGATCTTATAAATGGCTTTTTCTTTTGATTACTTGCTTCAGTTTTTGTTATATTAACAGAATCACAACTAGTATCTATTTTTTTTCCTACTATCAAAGCTTCCACTATCTTTACATGACCTTTGGCAGCAGCATAATGCAAAGCAGTAAATCCATACTTATCTATCTCATTAATACCCACTCCATGCTGTACGAGCGTTTCTACACAATTTAAATGCCCATTCATAGCAGCAGTATGTAAGCCCTCACACCCTACTTGTACACCATTTTGTTTCAATAAGAGCTCTTGTATTTCAAAATGACCTCCCTTAATATCATAGTCTAAAGGAGTACCACCTTCTTTATCCCTTGCATTAACATCTGCTCCCTTTTCTATTAAACGTTCTATTACACTTTTCTTTGTTATACTGTCTATAGACATTGTTCTTCGAAGAATCTTATCCTTCACTTTCACAGCAAAATGTAGTGGTGTCTGACCATCTTGACCGGCCACATTAACATCTATTTCTTTGTGTTCTAATAAAGCATCTATTACCTTTTCATAGCCATTTTGAATAGCAACATGTAGAAAAGTAAATGAACTTACAAAAAGATAATTGATATCAAATTTTTGCTTTCGCCACTCCTCATATACATCACCTCTAAGGTTTAGCAGTGTGCCTTTTATTTCGTCAACTATGTTATCTGCATTTAAATTACCATTACTATTTACCTGACGTAGTATATCTATATATTCCACTATCATATTTCCCTCATTGCCAAAATATTCTATTTATTATATAATGTTACAAAAGTCAACCGATTTTTTATTTGTTTTCAATTATAAACTAGATATAAAGACCTCTGCATTATGCTGCTCTTAAATAAAGAAGCAACACTTCTAATGTAAACATCTCAGTTTTTTAAATCAAAAAACCTAAATTTTGCTCTATAATCGCCAAAGTTATCCTGCTTGACATCAGTGATCCAAGTTTGACATTTAATACCCAGCACCTCTCCTATCAATAATATTCTATGCTGCTTATCTAAGTGAGACATTATATCGTCAAGTAGTAAAATCGGTGCTTTTTTACAATAAATACACCTTGCTTTTACACCGGATAGGATTATAGAAAGTAGCAGTAATTTTTGTTCACCAGTAGAGCATAAATTTATAGGCATGTCCCTTTTTTGACAGAAAACTTGAAAATTATCATTATGTACACCAAAATTTACTTTACCAGTTAGCAAGTCTCTTGCTCTATTTTCTCTCAAAAGGTTCTGGTAATATTCAGGAGTATCATTGTAGGTTAACTGGCTCTTGATTTTTAAGGTTGCTTTTGGAAAGAGTTCAGCAGAATGATTGTCAATAGTATTTTGCAATATCTTTAGCACAGAAATCCGCATGCGTGAAATATTGATAGCACTAGTCACCATTATGCTCTCAAGACTATTTAACCAACTTTCATCTGAAACACTATCCCTTAAAAGTCTACTTCTTTGATATTTAGCCTTCTGATATTGCATATAATAATAGGTATAATCATCTTCAAACATTGAAGTTATACGGTCTAGAAATTTTAATCTATCACTTGAAGAGTTAAGAAGTATATAGTCCATTTGTGGCACAAGCCATATTACGTTGGATATCTTGTACAAACTAGTATGCGTTTTACCATCAACCTTAACTAATTTTCTACTTCCATGTTTTGCAATCCCGATTGAATTTAAATCTTCTCCATTAAAGAAACTANGCCCAATCTATATTGCTAAATTTATTTTGCATTTCATTAACTTTAGCTTTTCTCATTCCATTACTCTTGGCAAGCAGTGAAATTGCTTCTAGTATATTGGTTTTTCCAATGCCATTTTGTCCGGTTATTACAACTGACTCATTACCTACTTCTAACTCAAAATCAGAATAATTGCGAAAATTATGTAATCTTAATTTTTCTACATAGCAAAAATTATGCATTTATTCACATCAAAAAATAAACAAACATATTGTTTCTAGCTACCAAAATGTCTATAATCCAACTTTTAAATATAAAATCAAATGTTACAAAGAAATATTCTTATATGGTTACTAACATCACTATTTTATGCATACCAATATATACTGCGTGTGATTCCTAACATAATCGCACCTGAATTGATAACAAAATTTAATATAAGTATTGCAGATGTAGGTCAGTTTGGGGGTTTATACTATATAGGTTATACATTAGCTCATATACCTATCGGTATTTTTCTCGACAGATTTGGACCAAAAATCGTTCTACCGGCTTGTATTATTTTAACGTTCACTGGAACATTACCATTAATATGGTTTGATGAGTGGTATTACTCAATACTTGGTAGAGTTATTGTAGGTGTTGGTTCATCAGCTTCCGCAATTGGTCTCTTTAAAGTTGCAAGCATGTATTTCGCACAGGAAAAATCAGCAAGGATGGCAAGCATATCAATAATTATAGGAATAATAGGAGCAGTATTTGGCGGACTGCCATTAGACTACTTACTTGACAAATTCAGTTGGGATTGCGTTATTTATACATTTTCAGCATTTGGTTGTATACTTGCTTTACTGTTATTCTTAATAACCCCTAAAAGTGATACTCAACAAGAAAAATTTAGTATAAAAGATTTAAAAGCGGTGCTATTTAATAAAAATATCTTCTTGATTAGCTTTTTTGGTGGACTCATGGTTGGTCCAATGGAAGGCTTTGTGGATGGTTGGGCAAAACCATTCTTTCTTGAAGTATATAAAGTCAATGAAAGTTTAGCATCTTCTCTCTCTTCTATGATATTCATAGGCATGGGAGTTGGATCATTCCTTTTAGCCTATCTATTAGAAAAATTCAAAGGCAAAGACTACGAAATAATAATTGCATGTTCATCAGTGATGATTATCAGTTTCTTACTGCTTTTCATGAGAGTTGGTGGCGTATATATTGCACTGCCAGCATTACTTATTATTGGTATCGCCTCCGGTTACCAAGTAATCACAATTTATAAGGCTATAAGCTATGCAGGCAGTAATCTAGTTGGTCTGGCAACGGCTGTATCAAACATGATAGTCATGATTTTTGGTTATTTTTTTCACACTGGAATTGCAGGAATAGTAAATCTATATTGGGATAAAACAATAATAGAAGGAAGTCCTATATATGGCTCAGCACTGTTAATAAAAGCAACGTCTATTATTCCTGTGTGTTTACTAATAGCAATATTAGGGTTTATATGGTTAAAAAAACAGGAAAGTAAGAAATATTAGGGTAAAATATATATGATCAACATTTTCAAAAACATTTTTAAATGCCCATATCCTAAAAGTAGTTTAAAGACTCATGACAACGAAGTTTATCAGTCTATAGAACAAGAGTTGCAGCGCCAAAAGTCACAATTGCAACTTATTGCATCAGAGAACTTCGCAAGCAAAGCAGTGATGGAAGCTCAAGGCTCTATTTTAACCAACAAATATGCAGAAGGTTATTCAGGTAAAAGATATTACTGCGGCTGCGAGTATGTAGACAAAATTGAAAGTCTTGCTGTGGAAAGACTATGTAAGCTATTTGGTGTTAAATTTGCAAATGTTCAACCTCACTCCGGCTCTCAAGCTAATCAAGCAGTGTTTGCATCATTGCTTTCTCCTGGTGATACAATACTTGGATTGTCACTTGATTGTGGCGGACACCTTACGCATGGTGCAGCACCTAATTTATCTGGTAAATGGTTTAAATCGGTTCAATATACAGTTGATAGAAAAACTTACTTACTAGATATGAATGAAGTGGAAAAATTAGCACTGGAACATAAGCCAAAGCTCATTATAGTAGGTGCATCAGCTTATCCTAGAAAAATAGATTTTAAACGCTTCCGCGAGATTGCAGATAAAGTCAATGCCTACCTACTTGCAGACGTCGCCCATTATGCAGGGCTTATTGCTGCTGGTGAATATCCATCCCCTTCTAAATATGCACATGTTATAACCTCCACAACCCATAAAACTCTACGTGGTCCACGTGGTGGAATAATTATGACAAACGATGAAGCAATATATAAAAAGCTCCAATCTGCTGTTTTTCCAGGGTTACAGGGCGGGCCATTGATGCATGTTATAGCTGCAAAAGCAGTTGCTTTTAAAGAAGCGTTAGATCCAGAATTTAAAGTTTACAGTAAAAAGGTCATAGAAAACGCTAAAGTACTAGCTAAAGAACTAGAAAAATACGGTTTAGATATCATCACTGGTGGCACTGATTCTCATATAGTGTTAGTAGACCTAAGACCTAAAAAACTTACCGGCAAAAGTGTAGTGGATAGCCTTGAAAGAGCGGGTATCACCTGTAATAAAAATGCCATACCATTCGATACAGAAAAGCCTACTATCACGTCAGGCTTACGCTTTGGCACCGCCGCTGAGACAACACGTGGACTTGAAAAAGAAGATTTTAAAGAAGTGGCACGTTTAATAAATGAAGTGATTCAGGGACTAATTAACAAAAACAGTGCAGATGTTGAAGAGAAAGTATCAGCACAAGTTAAAGCGATTTGTAGTAAATTTCCTATTTACTAGGCTTCAATTTCTCACTTAAAATTGAATTGACTACATCGGGATTAGCTTTTCCGTGAGTGCATTTCATCACTTCACCAACAAAAAACCCATACAATTTCACCTTACCACTTTTATACTCTTGAACCTTATCGCCGTTGTTATCAATGATTTTATCTATAACCTCAGCTATTTGATTTCTATCAGTTATTTGTTTAAGGTTTTGCTCTTCTATAATTAAAGAAGCAGACTTCCCAGTTTCAAACATAATATCAAATACTTGTTTTCCAAGTTTTACAGAAAGTGTTCCATCAACAATAAAATCTAAAAGTTCAGATAAAGCATCAGCTCTAATTGGAGAATCAGCAATGTCAATTCCGGCTTTATTTAAGCGACCAAAAAGCTCAATAGTTAGCCATGTTACAGCAATTTTTGGATTGTGCTTGTGTATTAACTCTTCAAAATAATTAGCTATTACTCTATCAAAAACAATAACATCAGCATCATACTCACTGATGCCTAATTCTTCTATATACCGCTGTTTCTTCTGATCAGGCAGCTCCGGTAAAGATAGCCTAATATTATCAATTTTCTCCTGATCTATTTCAACAGGGAGCAAGTCCGGCTCAGGGAAATATCTATAATCGCTTGCATCTTCTTTGTTGCGCATCACTTTTGTTTTTCCTGAAGCAACATCAAAAAGCAAGGTATCCTGACTTATTTCTCCTCCATCTTCTAAAATGCCAATTTGCCTCTGTACTTCATAGTCTATAGCTTGAGCAATATAACGGATTGAATTGAGATTTTTTATTTCACACCTAGTGCCAAATTGATCACTACCTTTCGGACGCACGGAGACATTTGCATCACAGCGTAGAGATCCCTTTTCCATATCACCATCACAAGAACCTACATAACGCAAAATCTGCCTTAATTTCTTCATAAATTCTGCAGCTTCAGCAGATGACCTTAAATCCGGTTCAGAAACAATTTCCATCAACGCAACACCTGCACGATTTAAATCTATGTACGTTTTTTGACCACCATGAATACTTTTTCCTGCATCCTGCTCCAGGTGAATTCTGGCAATTCTTATTTCTTTATTGCTGACTGATAATTTACCATTTTTCACTATTGGTTCGAAAAACTGTGTTATCTGGTAACCTTGAGGCAAATCAGGATAAAAATAATTCTTTCTATCGAAATAGGAGCTCATGTTAATTTCCGCAGATAATGCAAGTCCAGTACGTATTGCTTGCTCTACGCAAAAATAATTTAGTATTGGCAATGTACCAGGCATCGCCGCATCAACCAAAGAGACTTGAGTGTTGTGCTCAGCACCAAACTCAGTTGATGAACTAGAAAATAATTTTGTTTTGGAAGAAATTTGAGCATGTACCTCAAGCCCAATAACTACTTCCCAATTTGCTCCTACCATAAAACTGACTTAAGATTAATTGTATATTTTGTAAGAATTAACGCATAAAGTCAAAGTAAATGAAATTAGTTGTATTTTAATAACATGTGGTCCTTGCTGCTGCTATGAAACAAAAACCACTAGTCGAAATTAACCTTTTGCCTCTGTTCGTTGATATTGTGAAAAAACTTGTTTAGCTTGCTCACCAATTTCCTTAAATTTTGTATCAACTTTTTCCCACACCTCAAGCTTCATAACAGAATCAGCTAATTGTTCAGCTTTCTTATCAAATTTTTCGCTTATCGGCTGAAGTAGCCACATACCCTTTCCTTGTGCATTCAGACCCATAACAACTGCACAGACACACGATGCAATAAAACCCATTTGCGCTATTGCTAATAGTGAAAATCCTGTTACAACCGTAGATGCTAATATAATAGCGATATTCCCACAAATTGATTCAACTTTTACCTCTTTACTATTTCTTTCATCATTTTTCTTTACTTTCTCAAAATCATCGTTCGTATCTTGACCACAAAGACTAATTATCGATCCTGCTGCAACTTTCATTGCTGCTGTTAGAACATAGGCCATAGCTAACGCCATAGCTATTTTGATTAAGGAAAGAACTGATGGTAATATGACTACACCAGCCAATAAGCCAACGGCCATCCATTTTACAGCATTTTTCATGTCTAACTTACTTACATACATAAAGTCCTCTTTATATAACTAAAAAATAAAAACAGTCAGCTCACATTGAAAAGACTGCTTATATTTATATGATAAACTAAATTTTTGTAAACACAACAGCAAAATATCTAATTTGACCTATAAAAACTCCATTAACATTACTTTAAATAAAGTACCCATATTTTCAGTCAATCTTAAGAATTCATTCATAATTCTCTTTTTTTGTGTATTAGTTGCATTTTTTATCAAAACTTGTGCTCTCTCCTTTATGCCAAAAGAATATAAGAATTCCCTTTGAGTAAGAATCTCGCAGTTCATGTGTTGCAATGAATTTTTAAGTGCTTGAAAATCTACAAATGCAGTAATGTCGCAATTGCCAACATCCTCAAGAAAATTCACATAACGGTGTTGCTTTATTGACTGCAAAGTATTTTTGTATGAAGGATAGATATACCCATAATCTACAATCAAAGCAGCTCCTCTATCCTTACATATCTTCTCTTCGATTTTTTTTAGCATCTTAGTACCACATGAACATACCTCTACCACTGCATCATCAAAAATCACGGAATCACAAACCGGCTCTTTTTTCTCAATCTGCTTAATCGTAAGACCATCCTCGCTATGTTTTGCTATTCTATTTTCATACCACTTCTTATCACGGTAGACAAATTGATCAATTGGCAAAGCATCAAAAAATTCATTTGCAAGGAATATAGTAGGTTGTTCTGGTAAATTCTTCATATCTTCATGCCATTCGATATTTAGCCCTTGTAAAGTCTTTCTCTGAATATTCTGCAAAGCAGGACTAATTTCAACTAGGTGAATTGACATTGACTGAAAAAAAAAGCTGTGTTTTTTTGTAACTCTGATTATATCGCTGATTAATGTCCCCTTTCCTGGACCAAGTTCAACTAAAGAAAACTTTTCTGGTTTATCTAACTTCTCCCATACATACATTATCCACACCGCTATTATTTCACCAAACAACTGACTTATCTCAGGAGCAGTTACAAAATCACCATCTTTACCTAGTGGTACTTTACACATGTAATATCCATACTGTTTATGATATAAAGCAGCATTCATAAAGTCACTAATTGATATTGAACCCTGATTCTGATCAATTAATTCGTATATATAAGCCAGCATGTCATTAATAGATGTTTAACTATAGTATGCCACACTATTTAGTGGAAGTATGCTTATATATAAGGTATAATTTATCTCTATGAGTAGTACTCTAATTATGAATGACTATAAGCCAGACAATATTGCTATTACATCACAAAATGATGATTCATTAGAGGACCTTATAGGAAACGATACAATAAGTGTTAACGGATTTTCTCTACAAGAAATTGCTAACTTTATACAAAATAAGGTCATAAACGAAGACGGGTTAACTTTAGCAGAAGTATTTCAAGTACTTTTACAAATGCTAAATGGTAACTTAGAATTGCTTAGAAAAGTATTGCTACACGCGAAAATTATGGTACAAAATGGAATGGAAATACCAAAAGAGTCGCAGTTAACCAGATCCGATGTACGCCGTGCCCTAAAAGGTAAAGGTGCAGTCAAGCAGGATCTTGTAAAAACTCCTCCTATTCTACCTAATGTGAAATCACTTGTAAAAAAAAGTAGAGGTGTTTAAAGATGGTTGAGTCTATAAAAAAATTCACTGTTCAATGTGACTTTAAAGGACAAAGTTCACCTTTTGCAATATATATAGGAAATCCCAAAAATGACACCCATCCAATTCATCATCAAGATTCTTGGCTTGCAAAAGAACGTGGGGGCAATATTCCCAATAACATTAAGGATAATTTACAAAAATTGTATACTCTCTCACAAGAGAATGGTATCTCATTTTCAGAATTGTGTGCATATGCTATCACTGTAGTAAGTAACACTGGAGATATTGAAAACAAGAAAAAAGCAGAATAAAGGGAGCAAAATTCATTCTATTATTTCTTGACATTCCTTATGTTCTGCTTGTTTATTATTTAACGTACAGAAACTAACTTTGTTGTTCCTATTTGACTTATACTTGTATTAAAACTAATAGGAAGATCTGGTTCTTTATATAATGCCTCAGGCTTAAGCCAACTTGTTTCACTGGTATCTTCAACATTTCCTTTAAAAGTAAACTGTACAAACTCATAATCAAAATCTTCTCCTCTTTCTTCTTGAAGCTTTTCTATCTCCTTTCTTATCGCATTCCAAACCATATTATTATCTTCATCACAGTAAGATACTTTGTCTGCTAATTCATTAACAAATGCTTCTAAAGCATTTGTTAGTATTTTTCTTCCTCTTCGATCAATAGCAATAATTGAATTTTCCAAGCTAGCAGCCATTACAATCCCATGGATATTTTCAACTACACCTACCTTCTTATTATCCTTGCTAGAAAAAATATCAAAATCGAAATAAATCACTTCATCTTGTCCTGCTATTTTGTCAAAATTTAGTAAAATGAATGCACGCATTAAATCTATCTCAAGGCCAAATGGCATCCTTATATCTGCACTATACAATGTTTTATAGAATTCAGGTATTGAAATCTCGAAATCGCTACCTATTGATAAATTAGGCATATCATCTGTACAAAAATCTATTTTATTGAAATCTATTACTTTTATATTTTCTATCAGACTTAAAGTCTCTTCTAGATCTTTCATCTGTTTCAACTTTAAACCTGCACCATTTACAACCAAATAAATAGTACGTTGCGGTTCCGCTCTTGCCCAATTTATTAATCTTTGTAAATATTGGTATTGTTTATTGTTGGGTACTGAATTACCAAATTGTTTAGGTAGCCATTGAAATACAAGCGGCGTAGTCTCTGGTAATGTTATTATAGCATTCACCTAGGTGTCCATATATTAGAATAATAACCAGTATAATTAAAAATCTTTAATAATTTCTAAAGATACTTTATTAACAAATATATAAATCACTCTACTTTTGTAACAATGATACAGTGTATATCCTAGCGTTTTCCTAGTGCTAAGTTTTACCTATAACCATGTAAACAATTTCCATTTATAGGCTCTACTCACCACTTGAACCAAAACCACCTGTGTCGCGCTCAGTTTCACTCACAGTAAACTCCTCTACATCTTTCCAAGTTATTTTTGTAACGGGAGCAACAAGAATTTGAGCAATCCTATCTCCTCTTTTTATTTCGTATTGTTGGTCACTCAGATTGATTAAACAAACTTTAACTTCGCCTCTATAATCAGAATCTATAGTACCTGGAGAGTTTAAAACTGTGATCCCATGTTTCGCCGCCAAACCTGAACGCGGCCTTACCTGCGCTTCAAACCCATCAGGTACTGCAATAATAATTCCAGTAGGTACCAAAACCCTCTCAAGTGAATTCAATATAATGGAAGTATCAACTGCAGCATATAGATCCATACCCGCACTCTGCACAGTTGCATAACACGGTAATGGTAGATCCTTCCCATGTGGCAATTTTTTTATTTCTATCTCAATTTTATCTCTTTGCATTTTATATGATTATCAACTATACTATTGTAGCACATATGGGTTTTCTTCAAAGCTTATTTCTGTAGAGATATCCAAAAATCGCTCACCACAAATAAAAAAAATTCCATTATCATAGTTGCTATTTACAATAAATTGAGTATTTTAAGATAGTTTACATCAAAAAAGTGAATTGAGTTAAAGAACTGTTTATTTTTCATTGAAAATATCGTTTCATAGTATTAAAGAAAAATTATGGCATTATTAATAGTTGAATCGCCTGCAAAGGCAAAAACAATAGGTAAGTACCTCGGTAAAGAATTTAATATAGCTGCATCCTTCGGCCATGTAAGAGATTTACCGGCAAAAAACGGTTCCGTTGATCCAAATAACGATTTTGCTATGAAATATATAGCTCTGGAGAAAGCAGAAAAATACATCAAAGAATTAGTGAAAGCAGCAAGCAAAATGCAAGATATATACCTTGCAACAGATCCTGATAGAGAAGGAGAAGCAATAGCATGGCATGTGGTAGAAATCCTTAAGGAAAGGAATGCCATTAACAAAAATAATAATATTTACAGAGTAACCTTTAATGAAATTACAAAAAATGCAGTACAAGAAGCTATAAAAAACCCACGTAAAATAAGTATGGATCTAGTGCATGCACAGCAAGCGCGGAGGGCTTTAGATTATCTGGTAGGATTTACCTTATCACCTCTGCTGTGGAAAAAATTGCCTGGAAGTAGATCTGCAGGCCGAGTACAATCTGTTGTACTGAGGCTTATATGCGAGCGAGAAGATGAGATTAATAAATTTGTATCTCAAGAATATTGGAGCATCAAAGCAGAAATGCAGAATAATAACAGTGAGACTTTTTTTGCATTGCTTAGCCACTATGAGAGTAAAAAATTAGAGAAATTTGACATTAAAAATGAAGAGCAAGCAAAACATCTAATCAAAGAAATCGAAACACGACAATACGCTGTCAGTACGGTAGAGCACAAGCAAATAAAAAGAAACCCCCTTCCGCCGTTCATCACTTCAACTCTGCAGCAAGATGCAGTTAATAAACTTCATTTCAATATAAAAAATGTAATGCGCATCGCACAGAATTTATATGAAGGCATCAATATTGGCGGAGAAACAGTAGGTTTAATCACTTACATGCGTACAGATGGGTTTTATATCGCTGATGAGGCAATTAACTCGATTAGACAGTCAATCAAGTCACTATATGGTGATAAGTATTTACCAAAGTCTCCTCGTCAATATGCAAAAAAAGTTAAAAATGCTCAAGAAGCACACGAAGCAATTCGTCCAACAGATATAAATAGAACACCAAATAGCATAGCTCAATATTTAACACCAGAACAACTGAAGTTATATGATCTAATTTGGAAAAGGACCATTGCAAGTCAGATGGAGTCAGCAATTATCGATCAGATAATAGTAGAGATCAACTCTCATGATCAGAAAATAACTCTTAGAGCAAACGGATCAAGCATATTTTTTGATGGTTTTTATAAGGTTTATCAAGACAATATAGAAATAGAAAATGAAAGTTTATTACCTGCTTTGAAAGAAGGGGAAGCATGCAAACTAATTGCTACAACCCCTAAACAGCATTTCACTCAACCACCAGCACGTTATAGCGAGGCAAGTATTGTAAAAAAAATGGAGGAGATAGGTATAGGTCGTCCATCAACTTATTCAGTAATCATTTCTGTGTTGCAAGATCGTGGCTACGTTACATTAGATAATAAAAGATTTATTCCAAGTAGTCGTGGTACAATCGTAACCATTTTCCTAAAAAAATTCTTTAGTCGTTACGTAGAATATGATTTCACTGCTCACATGGAAGAAGAGCTGGATGTCATATCAAATGGAAATGCAGATTGGAAAGAAGTGTTAAGACATTTCTGGGTACCATTTTCCGACAATACTAACTCTGTGAAGCAAATGACATATGATGAAGTCCTAGATGGAATTCGCGAATTAATTCTTAATTACTTCTGCTCAGAAGAAGAAAAAAACAACATTGAAGAAAAATGCTCAGCCTGCCCTGATGGTATGTTAAAGTTAAATGTTGGACGCAGTGGAGTATTTTTAGGATGCTCTAACTATCCTCAATGCAATTATACAAGAGAAATTACTGGCAACGATAATTCAGAATACCCTAAAAGCCTTGGCATAGATGTAAAAACAGGACAGGAAGTGGTGATAAAAAAAGGTCCTTATGGGTTTTACCTGCAGTTCAACAGTGAAGTGGATAAGAAAAAAGCAGCCATTCCAAAGGATATAAATATCGATGATGTAGATCTTGATATGGCAACTGCACTGCTTTCACTACCGAAAGTTATAGGAAATCACCCAGACACAAACAAAGAGGTAAAAGTAGGTCTTGGAAGGTTTGGATATTATATTTTGTATGACGGCAAATATTTTTCTCTTAAAAAAACACACAAAGAAGCGCTGAGTGTTACATTAGATGAAGCATTAACAATTATTGCAAGCAGTGCACAAAAGATATTAAAGTCCCTTGGTGTTGATGAAAAAGGAAAGGAAATTGTTATTTGTAACGGAAGGTATGGACACTATATAAAATGCGGAAAGACAAACGTTGCTTTAGGTAAAGATGCTGACATTGAAAGTATCGACTTAAAAAAGGCAATGGAACTCATTCAAAACAAACAAGCAAGTTCGTCGTAAAATTTTATTATCGATAGTGGAAAACAATTCTGTTATATTTTTATTTGTAAGCAGCTTTTTAGTGGTCTTGAATTTGTGGTTTTAGGATATTAAGTGACTATATCAATTCTGGGTGCTGGTGCATGGGGCACAGCAATTGCAATTTCACTAAGTAGTAAGCAGGATATAATCTTATGGACACACAATAAATCAAAGTGTCAGTTAATAAATGAAAAAAGGGAAAGTGATAGACTACCTGGCTGCTTAATTCCCGATAACATATCAGTGAAATCAGACATTAAAGATACTATTAACAGCGCAGCTATAATTATTGCAACTCCCACCCAGTCCTTAAGAGAAGTGTGTAAACAATTGCGTGGAATACAGAAGGGCACACCTATAATCTTAGCATGTAAAGGAATAGAACAATCAACATTAATGTTACCCAGTGAAATAGCTCAAGAGATTTTACCGGATAATCCAACTGCAATTTTTTCTGGACCTAGTTTTGCAATAGAAGTTGCAAAAAATTTGCCTTACTCAATGGTACTTGCTTGTCAAGATACTACTTTGGGTCTAAAGTTAACATCTGAGTTAAAGCAAAAAAATATGATACTACACTTTAGCAACGACGTTGTAAGTGTGCAGACTTGTGCAGCATTAAAAAACGTTTTTGCCATAGCATGTGGAATAGTTTTAGGTAGGAAGCTTGGTTACAATGCGCATGCAGCTCTGATAACAAAAAGCATAAATGAGGTGAGAACTTTGTATTTAGCTAAGACCAATGTTAATAATATAGATACATTACTAGGACCGTCATGCTTAGGGGATTTAGTTATGACATGTACGTCATTAAACTCAAGAAACTTATCTTTTGGCCTTAAGATAAGTAACAGTAATTGTGATATTCAACAAGCTTTACGGGAAAGTAAATCAACAATAGAAGGTATTAGCACTGCTCGATCTACTTTTGAATTGGCACAAAAGCTAAAAATTCAAATGCCAATATGTGAAGCAATTTATGAATTATTGTACAAAAATGTCAATATAGATGATATTATTTCTAAGTTAGTTCTATGAAGCCACTGTATAAACTTATTGCAACATGGATGCTGTCTGGAACAGTAAAAAAAATGCCAGGAACTATAGGTAGTTTGGCTGCCTTTCCGCTGGTTCCTCTCATCTTAATCAATAAAGTTTTAGGTATAATACTTATCCTACTCTTATTCTTAGTAGGATTATGGTCCACAAGTAATTATATAAAATATTATAATAAAATTTCGCACGACCCAAAGGAAGTCGTGATTGATGAAGTAGTTGGTCAGTTGTTAACAATATTCCTAGTGTCAATATTTTTACCTATTCAAAATATAAACTCCTTATTGTTATGCTTTTTTTCTTTCAGGTTTTTTGATATAGTAAAGGCATGGCCTACCAATTTAGTTGATAAAGATATCAAGAATTGCTTTGGAGTCATGTTAGATGATGTTATAGCTGCAATATTTGCTTCCATATTTGTAGTGTCACTCTATTGTTTATTATTATATGCAAGATAAAGGAATTTATTATTCAGGTTTGGTAACCCAAAACTTAAAAAGCTACATACTCTATACAACTGCTTTATCTCAATGGGAAACACATGACAATTTTGATGATATTGTGTTTACAATCAATGGAACTAGAGAATCTCTCTTTAATTTCGTATTCTGCGATGGTGAGTCATCTATTGATAAAACCTTAAATTATCTTAGAGAGAGAAATGTAGAAGCAACATGGGTGCATATGAAATCGAAAAGCATTTTAGAGCAATACGGAATAAAACGTATTAGCACACCAAAGAAAGCTTTGCTCAACATAAAAAACTATTTCTCACCACCCGATGTTGTTCCCAATTTAAAACTTCAGATTGTAGATAGCAGCGAACTTTTAGAGCAATTGGATTCATATACTGCTCAAATCTTTTATCACAATGCTGGAGTTGTTAGCACATTTCTTCGTGGGCTGCCAGATGACACTTCAAAATTAAAATTTTTTCTTGTAATATTAAATGATAAAGTAGTTGGAACATGTGCTATCTACATACAAGACAATATTGCAGGTTTTTATAGTGATGGTATTTTACCAATGTATAGGAACCAAGGAATAGGTACCCAAATGGTTTTAGAGAGGATAAAGATAGCAAAGGAATTTAAGTGTGAATATGTAATAGCACACTGCATGAAGCCTTCTGTCAACCTCTATAAGAGACTAGGTTTTCAGATGTTAGGTAACCTTTACTTGTATACTTCTTCAGTATAACTTATACATAATTTTCTACAACTGTAAATTTATGCTTGTTAAAAATGTTTTATGTTTTTCACTTACGAAGTATTCTTAATATTAGTTTTGGTGTTATTTTTTCTCTCTTATTCTAGATTGAAAATTAATGAAAGAATTAAGAGCCTACAACATCAAAATATTATTATTAACAATCTAATTGATACGATAGATGATGGATTCTACATCTGGGATTCAAAAAAGCGTATAGAAAAATTTTCTCCTAATCTATTAATTTCATTAAATACTGTTTTTTACTCATTTAATGAATTTGTAAACTTTTTTGAGCAGTCAGAAGTTTTACTAAAGAACTTCACTGAGACAAAGAAGATAAATAAGTCTTTTATTCTAGATCTCAAAGCAAAAGAAAGTGAAATTCACTGTATATGCTACGGTAGAAGCATAGTAGATAATACTAACAATGTTATTGGTGCGTTGTTGTGGATAAGAAATATTTCAGAGTATAAGGTAAGAGCGCATGAGCTTGAGCTAGAGCATAAGAAATTTAAGCAAGAAACAGAAAATTATAAAAATCTCTTTAATTCTTTACCATATCCAATGTTGGTATACAATAAGCACAAAAAAATCAAACTTTATAATTCATTTAGTGAGAAGTATGTAAATAACTCACAAAGGTCAGCCGTTACTCGTAGCACAAAGCCAGTTAAATACGCTATAACATATAAGAATGAACGTAAGATTTTCAATTTCATCAAAGTACCAATACAAAATTCTGAAGAAATAGTCGTATATGGACAAGATATAAGTACCTCAGAAAAGCTACGTACTGAGTTAAATCACTATTTAAGTGCACAAAAAAATTTACTGGAGGGACTACCGATCGCTATTACTATATACACTAAGAATCAAAAGCTTAAATCTTACAATAATGCTTTTGTAAAAATCTTCCAAATTGATCAAAGTTTTCTACTTTCTTATCCTANGTTATGCTTTACCTCTGTGAATCTAAAGGATTACTAAAAAAAGAAGATTTCCAGACTATAAATAAACAGAGACACACTTTATTTAAAGAGTTGCGCGAGTCATATAACAATGTGCTACATCTTACAAATGGAAAATCAATCAGAATTCTAACTATGCCGCATGCCACAGAGGGTTTGATCTTTATTTATGAGGAGTATAAAAAACTACCTCTCTAGCATTAGTNAGTCGCTTTATTTCAACTATTGCTTTTGCTGGATTAAGCCCCTTAGGGCAAGTTTTTGTACAATTCATTATTGTATGACAACGGTATAATTTAAACGAATCATTTAATGCATCAAGGCGTTCACTCGTCTTACTATCACGGCTATCAACAATCCATCTATACGCCTGTAACAATACCGCTGGGCCTAAATATTTATCACTATTCCACCAATAACTTGGACAGCTAGTAGAGCAACAAGCACACAATATACAATCAGATAAACCATCAAGCTTACTTCTTTCTTCAATAGACTGTGTATATTCCTTATTTTCTGGACGATCATCAGCTTGTAGCCAGGGCTTTATTGACTCATATTGTTTATAAAAATTATTTAAGTCTGGTACTAAATCCTTTACTACATACATATGAGGTAACGGATATATTTTCACATCACCCTTGATCTCACTCACTGACTTAGTACATGCTAGTGTATTAGTTCCATCAATATTCATCGCACAAGATCCACATATACCTTCCCTGCAAGAACGTCTAAAAGTTAAACTGGAATCTATTTCATCCTTTATCTTTATCAATACATCAAGGATCATAGGGCCACAATTATCCATATCGATAAAAAACGTATCCACTCTTGGATTTTTTTCATCATCAGGAGACCAGCGGTAAATTTGAAACCTTCTTATGTTTTTTGCTCCAGCTGGAACAGGATAAGTTTTACCCTTTTTATTAATTTTAGAATCCTTTGGTAAAGAAAACTGAACCATACCTTAAATCATTGTACTAAAACACCATAAGAATAACATATTTTAATATTATCACTATACTTTTTATTTTAAAAGGGACACTAACCCTTTGTTTTTTATAATCTTTGACTTAATAAAAATTTCATTAATATTGACATGTAATTAATATTAAGTTAACGTATTATCATATAAATTATAATAGGAGGTAAAGTGGCAGAAAGCATATTTTCAGGTTTTTTTAATTTTTTTAGTAAAAATTCCAGTTACACAAGTGATAATCTTAAAAAAGAGGAAACAATAATAACACATATGGAAGTTGATGATAATGCTGCAGAACAAACAGCAATGTCTACAGGAACTGACAGTGAAGAAAAAGCTAATGATAATGCTGTAGAACAAGCAGCAATGTCTATAGAAACTAACAGTGATGATGAATTTTTCGATTGTAAAGAAAAAGTAGAAGAAGCACCTGGAGTGGAGTTTGATATATTTGATGAGTATGAGATAGTTGATTCAGAGGAATGCGAAGAATTTCTTGATTGTCAAGAAGAATTCCCAGTACCACAAAGTAAAATCGTTTCTTATGTTATTAAGCCATCATTATATGCTGTAAAATATACAGCCAGTGCACTCTCTGCAACAACAATGGTTATATCATATACTTTGGATGGTACTTCACGTGTTGTAGCTGGTGTGTCCTACATTCCTCATGAGATGTCAAAAGCACTTGAGTTATGCAAGGGAGAAGATAAAGGTACGACAGGGCACAAGATTGTTACTTTTTCTCAAGGTCTTCTGAATTGCACATCAGCTACTATATATGCCGCATCATATATACCGTACGGTGCTGGTATAGTTTTTGATGGAGTGTCTAATACCACAGGCAAAGTAAGCTCATCTTTAACACCTGAAACAATAGAAGAAATTTGCAAAAAATCAGATTTGTTTGTGGATGATATCTCTAATACAGCGAACAAGTTGCAGGAAGTTGGTGTGAATATTTCTGAAAATGTAGCGAGCATGTTGAAAGGAGTTACTATACAAAATACTGCTGCAACTGCTATATCACTTTCTTAAGGTATACTGATGTAGTTTATTAGTTTAGCATATACAAATGTTTATCCTTTGTATTCAAAAGGCCGAAAGTGGGGATAATGGTTGCTTTTAAAAAGACGACAGTTTCTATAGTCTTAATTTTGTTTTTAGGCTTTTTATGTAACTTAGTTTTTTTGGATTGATATTTATCCTCTCTGTGCTCTATTAGTCCACCAATAACCATAATTTCTCCACTTTTAACCTTTAGCATGGAGTTTATCTCTCTTATCTCAACAAGTGGAATATTGCTATTTAGTTTAGTTTTGTTTTTCTGCGCAATTAACTCTATTCCCGGATCTTTAGCATAGCCATTAATTCTTGATAGAGTCGGGTGTATATCCATGAATACTTCATTGGTATCAACATTAATGCTTGGATGGATTACTAACACAACACCTATTGGAACACTGTTAATTTTAGTAATTAAGTTTCTGTTAGTACTTTTTTGAGCATCTATAGTAAAATAGACGTGATTTTTAGCAAATGAGATCATAGCTTGCTGATTGTTTGCAGCATGTATCCTTGTACTTGATATAACCGTCGAAGTACCAAATTTATCTAAACTTTTTACCAAACTTACCAAACTGCTCGTACTAGGACACCCAGCTTGGCTATTGTTTAAGTCATTTAAGTTAATACCAGCAAGATATCTATCATTTAAAACAACTTCAACTACCTTTGCTTCTATCATTACCTGAGAAGATGCTAGTCTTTTGACCTTGTTAATATACTCTTCAACAGCTTTGTGAGTATCTTTCCTAGCACTTAAAATAATCACACCGGTCTCTTTATTAGATGAAAGAAATTCATCATCATTTGTGCCATTAACATCCATTATTGTGTTCAAGCCTTTCTCTAACGAAGCCCATAGATCACTACTATATTGAGATCTCATTACATTATTCGAAGCTTCATTAGTAATGTTCCCTTTATTATTAATAATATCATCACTGATGATGAAATTACTTTGAGCAGAACGTTGAATGTTGATAAAGTCAGCATAGTAATTTTTTACGTATGGTAGATCTCGTTCGATTCTAACTACATCATTATCCATAGAGTAACGCAATCCAGCACTTTGAGCTATATTTTGAATCACTTCGCTTACGCTCTTATCTTTTAATTTTAAAATAATGTTACCAGAAATCTTCGGATCTATATCTAAATTAATATCAGAAATTTTCCCTATTTCAATCAACAGATCTTTCACAGGTGTGCTTTCATTTACATTAATTGAAATAAGTAGGCTATTGTTGGTAATATCAGGAAACTTGACTGGCAAATGTAGAACTCCTGGTTCCGAAGGTGGAGTTACTTCTTGATACTGTTGTAAAAGAGCATGACTTTCTCTTACATGAAAATCATCATGCGGTTTTGTACTAATGTGCGTACAAGAAATAATAATAAATAGCACTAAAAATTTTAAAATGGCCATCAAGTAATCACGTAAAACCTGTATTTAGCTTTCTTCAAAAACATTAAAAATATATTTAATATTACCAAAAACTTTTTTATCATTCTAACAAGCAAACAAAAGTATTTAATCATTTTATAATATTGTGTACTTAAAACACACTTTCAATTATTATTAATCTTAGAAAGAATAATTTTATCTATGAAAGTATTTTTACATAAGAATGACTTACCAGATAATTTAATGTTTTACAAAGTTAGTTCTGTAGCTGTTGACACAGAAGCTATGGGCTTGCTGCATAATAGAGATAGGCTATGTCTTGTGCAATTATCCTTTGGAGATGGTAACGCACATCTAATTCAGTTTAGGAATGATTATAGAGCACCTAATTTGAAAAAAATACTTGAGGATACAAATATCACTAAAATATTTCACTTTGCACGATTTGACATAGGCATAATAAATTACTACTTAAAAATTTGGCCACTGCCATGCTATTGTACAAAAATAGCCTCACGTTTGGTACGAACTTATACAGATAATCACAGTTTAAAAGATTTGTGCTCAGAATTAATAGGTATTAAATTAAATAAACAACAGCAATCTTCCGATTGGGGTAATGACAATCTAACAGAAAAGCAAAAGTGTTATGCTGGGTCTGACGTACTTTACCTTCATCAGATAAAAGAAAAGCTAGATTCAATGCTAGAACGTGAAAACAGGAAAGAACTGGCTCAAAAGTGTTTTGAATTTCTTCCTACTCGTGTTCAGCTAGATCTAATAGGATGGGAAAATATAGATATCTTTAGTCATCAAACATAATCTCAAACGTTAATTAAAATACACTAAATGCAACATTTACACACTACACGCTCAATTATATTTACAGTCGGAATATTTTTACTATTGTTTAGTATTACAATGATTATTCCAATGGTTATTGATCCTCAGCACGAATGGAAACTGTTTGGAGTAGGGTTTATTATTACATGCACATCCGGTATAATTTTCACTCTTCTAGGTAAAATCAGTAGATTACATGGCATATCAGCAGTATTTATAACCACTAGTTGTGTATGGCTCACTCTATCTTTATTTGCAGCTATTCCGTTTTATCTAAATGGGTACAGCTACATTGATGCACTGTTTGAAGCAGTATCTGGCATAACAACAACAGGAGCAACTATACTCAATGATGTTGAAGCTCAGTCTGCAGGAATATTAATGTGGAGAGCTATGTTGCATAGCATAGGTGGGTTGGGCATTGTAACGACAGGAATTGCTATTTTTCCAATGTTTAAAATTTTTAGTCTAAATAATTTACTCTATTCCGAATATTCAGATGCTATAAAGAAAAGATTACCTCACATCAGAAACGTTGTGATCCATATTACAATAATATATTATGCTCTCATTTTACTGTGTATATTTTCCTATTATTTGGCAGGTATGCCGTTATTTGACTCTATATGTCATGGAATGTCTACGGTATCAACCGGTGGCTTTTCTAACTACAATGATTCTATTGGACATTATAACAGTCCTATATTAGAAGTTATAACTATTATTTTCATGATTTTAGGATCTCTACCTTTTCTCAGTTACTTAAAAATCGTAAAGCAATTAGACATCTACCATGATGATCAAGTTTCTTACTTTTTCGTAATAGCAATAATTTCATCTTTACTTGCTTGCTACTGGCTATTGGTAAATGTTAATTTAGAAATATGGCAATCATTTAGATATGGAATATTTACAGTTGTATCCTTACTTACATCTACTGGTCACTCAACTTACAGCAACTTGAATTGGGGATTGATTTCAGTTTTAACCTTTTTTTTGACGTTCATAGGAGGATGCAGTGGCTCTGCAAGCGGAGGTATAAAAATCTTCCGTATAGTAGTTATGTTAAAATCAATTAAAAACTATTTTAACACCATACTAAGTGAAGATGCATGCAATGCAGTAAAATTTAATAAAAGAAACCTGGAAAGTGATGAAGTGCATACCGTTCTTATATTTTTCGCAGTTTATATATTAACATTTGCTGCTTCATCAGTAATTATGTCTTACTTAAGTAATGCTGATTTCATCACAAGTATAAGCGCAGTTTCTGCTATGCTCACAAATTCTGGCCCTGGATTCAGCAGTCTCATAGGTCCTTCAGGTAATTACTCATCTTTCAGCAATGAAGTAAAGTTATTCCTATCTTTTCTGATGCTGATTGGTAGACTTGAGATACTACCAGTTTATTTCTGCATATACTATATGATGACCAGCTACAGGAAAAATCATTTTATTTCATAGTCAACTTTTGCAGCTAAAATAAAATCATTTTCGGTGAGTCCATTGGTTGAATGGGTCCAGATTTCAAGCCTACATTTTCCCCATGAAATATTAATATTGGGGTGATGGTATTCCCTCTCTGCAATCTTACTGACTTTATTAGCAAAGTCCATTGCACTGGCAAAATCGGAAAACTTATACTCCTTATATAAATGTCCTCTACTAT